TGACTGTAACTACGCTCAAACTGTTAATGCTATCTTATTTTAATAAACAACACTGTCATATGCAAAACTGGGGTGGCACTTGGGGTGGCAAGGGATCATTTTAGGGTGGCACTTGCCACCCCATGCCACCCTTCTAGATCCGCCCCTGCATTTTCTACAAAGATGAAGAGCGTATGAAATATTAAATATTTGGGCTAATTATACAAAAACTCATAAAACTGACCTTGCAACAATAGCTAAAGTATTATCTATAAATAGCCTGTCTAACCCCTGCAGGATGTAGACTAATTCTTTTTTTATGGTTCGTGTACCCTGAATCTAGAGAACAGTGCATCTAATTAGACTTTTCTTATTTTATGATGTGATATTGCTGCTTTGGCCTTATTTAACAAGTTAGATTCTACTAGCATTAATCACTATCGACTTCCTTTTTCTATTATTTGTTCATTTATTGATTTCCATTATGCTGTCTATTAATACACTACATGTGTAACATAAGAATGTCAAAGCTTATAGGCAGCAGAGAAGAAAATGAAAGATTGTCACTTCCTGTTTTAATTTGATAGTCAATTATCTTGTGTACATTATGCTTTCCCTTCGCCTGTCTCTTAGATTCTGTTCAGCTGTTCAGTTTACCACCATATCACTACATCAAGCAAGAGGCAAGTAATAAATTCTTTTTTTCCCCTTTTTTATTTTGTATTTCCACACAGGGTTGTAAAGATGATCCATCCATCATGACAGAAATGTATTCATATAAAAAAAACTTACAAAATTTGTGCAGCTTGCAGCTTGCTTTTACATATCGAGGAGGATGAAGTGCAAAGAGAAGCATACAGTCAACAATATTTATAAACCCATCACTTCTTGGACAGTTTTGGGAGGCTGTCACTCAGAGCACTCATGCCTTCTCATAGGTGCGCACTGCGTGGATGTCTTCGAAGGTCAGATTCTGCACAGGAGAGAGGACAGAAAGTATGATTCTCAAGTTTACTTAATTAAATATATATAAAAGAATCCTCATTTGCTTAATCAGCAAATCATCATATAATTGTTATAAGAATATTCCAGACGAATTGTAAATCAGTCTTGGTTGGACATATCACCTCATCTACTGCATAAAATCATCAAAATCAATTTTATGTTGTTACAAAGCTTATTAGGCTCAGAAAGCAACTGACAATCATTTAATTCAAGGAATTGCATTATAAAAAAAAATGTTGTTTGTCTGTCTCCAAAAGTTCACCCAAAAAGTATAGAAAGTCTATATA